ATATATATATATATATATATATATATATATTTGACTATTTTAAATAATAAAAATATCGTATGAGAAAACAAAGTATACTAAATATAAAAAAATGTCATCAAAACATCATCCGTAAGCATTAAAGTTTTATTTTCACGCAATTAAATAATACAAAACCACTAACGTGAAACATAATTAGTGTTTTTTGATAATGTAAAAATAAAACAAAGTTGATGTGAAAGTGAAATCTAAAGCGTTATTTCATGTTGTGAAACAATATAATGTCGTTAATGTTAAACAATGTAGTGTTGTTTCACGATTTAAAAACAAATCAAAAGTTGATGTAAAATGAGATGTAAAATACCAAAAATATTGTTTCATATTGTGAAACAACACAATGTTTCACATGGTGAACAATATAATGTCGTTTCACGTGGTGAAACAATGTAGTGCTGTTTCATCATATGAAAAGAAACAAAAAATGATGTGAAATGTAATGTAAAATACTAAAGTGTTATTTCACGGTGAAATAACATACGAGTTAATTCACTTTTATTGTTTCATGTAAAAAATTGCAATTATTAAATAAATGTAAAAAAATAATGATATTCGTATCAAATAAAAGAAGATAAATCGCTTGTTTTGTTTTTATATAAAAATTTTAATAAAAAATTTATCGTAATTAATACATTTGTAATTTAAAATTTTATTGTAATTAATATCATTTTGATAGCCGTTATTGTTGACTATAGATTGGATGTCAAATGCCCATAATGCCCCTTTCAACTTGTAGTTTATCTAATAATTAGTTTCAAATTTCAAAAAGTATTACAAAAATGTCATCGTCTTTTGTAACCACAAATTAAATTCAATTAATCATTAAGATTGATTCTCACGGTTCTCAACTTCACATGATTAAACCCCTATGATACTGATAATAACAAAACAAAACAAAAATGGTCCCAACTCGTACCCTAACCCTAGTCTTAACCTTGATAATTTTATGGTCTATCGATGCAAACCGTTGCTTTGTTGTTAGATTAATTCGGTTCATCAAACAATTGCATCATGTAATTTCTTTACCTTAAACGACCGACTTCTTGCAAATTCTGATACCGTTTTTATGGAGTCATGAGTTTGTCGATGCTATATTACTATGGCTTAGATTGTATCTATCCGGCTGGGGAGGTGATGGATGTGCTACAATGGCGAAAACCGGTAATTGTTGCCTCAAAAAGGGCCTAATAAGGTTGGTCCAAAATTCGGAATAACAGTGATTATCGAAATCGTTGAATTGTGTGTTATTGAACGAGCACTCGAAGCATCTTATTTAGGGAATTTGTTCGATAAACAGTGTTTAGTGGAGGCGTTGTTGTCAAAGAAACTGTCGAATGAGTTTTCCATATAAACAGTTTGAAGGATATGATAGTAGTGTTTAATATTCGATTATACTGTTGGAGTTTAAATGCAAGTACAAATTTCACGTGTTAAAAACTCGTGGGCGTGCGTTAAGTGGCAACGCTTTGAATAAGAAAAATAATAAGTAAAACATTTTAGGTTGCGAAAGTGTTCCATAAAAGAAAAAAAATACGTTTTTGCCGACTCATAAATATATTACACATACAAATAACACGGAGAAATGATGATTTTAGTAATTTTTGGTTGAATTTATGCTACAAAATATTCCTAAAAACTCTTTCTAGGATAAATGTTTTTAAATTTAAAGAATTCTTTAAAATTGATTGCTAATGAAAGAGAAACAATTATTATTATTATTACCCATAAAATGAACTGAAATTAAATGTTTGGTAGAGAGAAAATAATATTTTACTAAAGAGCAAATTGTATGAAAAAGTAACATACTTTAATTTGATTCTTATTTTGGGTATCATATTTTCAAAACTTTCATTTTGGTACATAATATGTAAAGTTTTAAGCATTTACTTACTCGGGTAACCGGTTAAAGCATTAACCAATTATCATGCTGATGTGGCGAATGATGTGGTATCCAATTTAGTATTATTTGCTGACGTGGTTAGTGACATATATTTTTTTAAATCTAAAATTAGTCTTCAACCGGTTACCCGGGTACTTAAATGTTCAAAACTTTACATCTTAGGTACCAAAATGAAAGTTTTAAAAGTACGTTACGCAAAATAAAAATCAAGTTAAATTACATTATTTTTTTCATGCAATTTGCCTTTTATTAAATGTAGCAAATATTTTAATAATACAATTAATGTCGTAATCTATAAAATAAAAAAAGTTGTTGAGATTTAATGTAATTTATTTTGAGAGCTTTTAATATTTTTCATTCATAGAAATTTTGGAAATCTATTGGAGATTCTCTTATATTGCAAAGACATTGTTTTACGATGTTGATATAAAATATCAACTTGAGTGAAATGTGAGCGGTACCCTATATCATATCTTTGTGTTTGCCGTATTAAGAATCACAACGATTTTAGTGAATCGTCTCTCGAGATAGGTTTCAAGGAAAGCAAACTAGGATAAGGGGTCTGGACCACTCTAAATCTCGTGTCATTTCACAAACATTATATTTTTTGTATTTGTTAGAATAACATATTTCGTGTATTACATTATAATAACCGTCAATAATTGAAAAATAATGTAACCAACCTACTCACCCTCGTCTAGGTTGTGAAATAACAACCTATGATAGGGATTGTGCATGAGGTTGCACATAATACTGATAAATCGACTATCCACTCGATTAAAAAAATGGGTCGACGATCCAAACCTTGACTAGATCGGAGTAGTTAACTTTGAGCTATTCAAATGACCTTTACATGGTTAACCAAACCTATGAGCCAGGCACGATACCAGATACTTATGTGACGTTTTAGGCTATGTCTTTGCACTTGATAATCGATATAGTGGAAGAGACTCCATAAATGAATGATGACGTAAGCAGATTCAACAGTTTTATCGCTCGTAACTTTCTTGATTTCTAGCCATTCCAAGATTCTTTCTATACCTCCAATCTTTTCCACTTCTTTAACGTTTTATAAGTTACTTTTTAAAATGACTAAAATGCCCTTCACGTCATTAAAAACGATAAACAAATCAAAGCAAAAACAAACACGTATCATCAACCACTACATCTTTTAAAGTTATAAAATTAAACAAAACTCATTCAATTCAATATTTATAAATCATTAATATTTTTTTATCAATTTAAAATATTTAAATAATAATAAATATGTTTTATAACCATACATGACCATTTGTTATTTGTGTATTTAAAAAATGACATGTATAGTTATTAGATCAAATGTTATATAGTTGTAATTTAATATTTAAATATTTATTTAATAAATAAAAAGGTTGAAAATATAAAGGCACGATAAATGCCAATTTAGAGATTTTAATTAAATATTTTATGGAGTATGTAGCACACCATACTCCTAAAAAGGCATGATAAACCATTGTTGTTAAAAGGTAACGACAAAGTTGTTGTTCTAATTAAATCACCAACTCAAAATAATTATATAAAAATAAACCATTTTTTATAAACAAATATTCGTATAAATACGTCATCCAAATTATTTATATTTATACTATATTATAAAGTATTTGACAAATACTCTTAAAAACTATTTTTTATGCATGAAGTGCTATTTATTGATGCATATTACTTAAAATTCAACATTACAAATAAATTGTGAAGG